GAGCCGGGACACCCGCACCCGTACGGACCTGCACTTGGAGTGAGCGTAGGGCGGCGTACTCCCATAGAGAAGGACGGGGGCTGCGTACTAATCACACTCAGCACCTGTCCTTCCCAGGAGCTGCTCGGTACGGCCCTGCACGCAGCACGGAGCTGTATGTGCCGGCCGATTACAGTGTGAATGAGGCCTAAGGAATGAGGGGTGTGGATGGATGAATTTTCCAATACACTAAAATCCCAACTGCATGTATATGATGAATCCCCATTACTCCTTCCTTTACACCAAACTAAAATTGTATTCCAGGATTTCGTATGCAAAATGGGCACAGCAGGTGTACAGACCTGGGAACTCAGCACAGGGATGGAGGGGGCCCCTCATAATGGGCACAGCGGGGGTACAGACCCGGGAACTCAGCACAGGGATGGAGGGGGCCCCTCATAATGGGCACAGCGGGGGTACAGACCCGGGAACTCAGCACAGGGATGGAGGGGGCCCCTCATAATGGGCACAGCGGGGGTACAGACCCGGGAACTCAGCACAGGGATGGAGGGGGCCCCTCATAATGGGCACAGCGGGGGTACAGACCCGGGAACTCAGCACAGGGATGGAGGGGGCCCCTCATAATGGGCACAGCGGGGGTACAGACCCGGGAACTCAGCACAGGGATGGAGGGGGCCCCTCATAATGGGCACAGCGGGGGTACAGACCCGGGAACTCAGCACAGGGATGGAGGGGGCCCCTCATAATGGGCACAGCGGGGGTACAGACCCGGGAACTCAGCACAGGGATGGAGGGGGCCCCTCATAATGGGCACAGCGGGGGTACAGACCCGGGAACTCAGCACAGGGATGGAGGGGGCCCCTCATAATGGGCACAGCGGGGGTACAGACCCGGGAACTCAGCACAGGGATGGAGGGGGCCCCTCATAATGGGCACAGCGGGGGTACAGACCCGGGAACTCAGCACAGGGATGGAGGGGGCCCCTCATAATGGGCACAGCGGGGGTACAGACCCGGGAACTCAGCACAGGGATGGAGGGGGCCCCTCATAATGGGCACAGCGGGGGTACAGACCCGGGAACTCAGCACAGGGATGGAGGGGGCCCCTCATAATGGGCACAGCGGGGGTACAGACCCGGGAACTCAGCACAGGGATGGAGGGGGCCCCTCATAATGGGCACAGCGGGGGTACAGACCCGGGAACTCAGCACAGGGATGGAGGGGGCCCCTCATAATGGGCACAGCGGGGGTACAGACCCGGGAACTCAGCACAGGGATGGAGGGGGCCCCTCATAATGGGCACAGCGGGGGTACAGACCCGGGAACTCAGCACAGGGATGGAGGGGGCCCCTCATAATGGGCACAGCGGGGGTACAGACCCGGGAACTCAGCACAGGGATGGAGGGGGCCCCTCATAATGGGCACAGCGGGGGTACAGACCCGGGAACTCAGCACAGGGATGGAGGGGGCCCCTCATAATGGGCACAGCGGGGGTACAGACCCGGGAACTCAGCACAGGGATGGAGGGGGCCCCTCATAATGGGCACAGCGGGGGTACAGACCCGGGAACTCAGCACAGGGATGGAGGGGGCCCCTCATAATGGGCACAGCGGGGGTACAGACCCGGGAACTCAGCACAGGGATGGAGGGGGCCCCTCATAATGGGCACAGCGGGGGTACAGACCCGGGAACTCAGCACAGGGATGGAGGGGGCCCCTCATAATGGGCACAGCGGGGGTACAGACCCGGGAACTCAGCACAGGGATGGAGGGGGCCCCTCATAATGGGCACAGCGGGGGTACAGACCCGGGAACTCAGCACAGGGATGGAGGGGGCCCCTCATAATGGGCACAGCGGGGGTACAGACCCGGGAACTCAGCACAGGGATGGAGGGGGCCCCTCATAATGGGCACAGCGGGGGTACAGACCCGGGAACTCAGCACAGGGATGGAGGGGGCCCCTCATAATGGGCACAGCGGGGGTACAGACCCGGGAACTCAGCACAGGGATGGAGGGGGCCCCTCATAATGGGCACAGCGGGGGTACAGACCCGGGAACTCAGCACAGGGATGGAGGGGGCCCCTCATAATGGGCACAGCGGGGGTACAGACCCGGGAACTCAGCACAGGGATGGAGGGGGCCCCTCATAATGGGCACAGCGGGGGTACAGACCCGGGAACTCAGCACAGGGATGGAGGGGGCCCCTCATAATGGGCACAGCGGGGGTACAGACCCGGGAACTCAGCACAGGGATGGAGGGGGCCCCTCATAATGGGCACAGCGGGGGTACAGACCCGGGAACTCAGCACAGGGATGGAGGGGGCCCCTCATAATGGGCACAGCGGGGGTACAGACCCGGGAACTCAGCACAGGGATGGAGGGGGCCCCTCATAATGGGCACAGCGGGGGTACAGACCCGGGAACTCAGCACAGGGATGGAGGGGGCCCCTCATAATGGGCACAGCGGGGGTACAGACCCGGGAACTCAGCACAGGGATGGAGGGGGCCCCTCATAATGGGCACAGCGGGGGTACAGACCCGGGAACTCAGCACAGGGATGGAGGGGGCCCCTCATAATGGGCACAGCGGGGGTACAGACCCGGGAACTCAGCACAGGGATGGAGGGGGCCCCTCATAATGGGCACAGCGGGGGTACAGACCCGGGAACTCAGCACAGGGATGGAGGGGGCCCCTCATAATGGGCACAGCGGGGGTACAGACCCGGGAACTCAGCACAGGGATGGAGGGGGCCCCTCATAATGGGCACAGCGGGGGTACAGACCCGGGAACTCAGCACAGGGATGGAGGGGGCCCCTCATAATGGGCACAGCGGGGGTACAGACCCGGGAACTCAGCACAGGGATGGAGGGGGCCCCTCATAATGGGCACAGCGGGGGTACAGACCCGGGAACTCAGCACAGGGATGGAGGGGGCCCCTCATAATGGGCACAGCGGGGGTACAGACCCGGGAACTCAGCACAGGGATGGAGGGGGCCCCTCATAATGGGCACAGCGGGGGTACAGACCCGGGAACTCAGCACAGGGATGGAGGGGGCCCCTCATAATGGGCACAGCGGGGGTACAGACCCGGGAACTCAGCACAGGGATGGAGGGGGCCCCTCATAATGGGCACAGCGGGGGTACAGACCCGGGAACTCAGCACAGGGATGGAGGGGGCCCCTCATAATGGGCACAGCGGGGGTACAGACCCGGGAACTCAGCACAGGGATGGAGGGGGCCCCTCATAATGGGCACAGCGGGGGTACAGACCCGGGAACTCAGCACAGGGATGGAGGGGGCCCCTCATAATGGGCACAGCGGGGGTACAGACCCGGGAACTCAGCACAGGGATGGAGGGGGCCCCTCATAATGGGCACAGCGGGGGTACAGACCCGGGAACTCAGCACAGGGATGGAGGGGGCCCCTCATAATGGGCACAGCGGGGGTACAGACCCGGGAACTCAGCACAGGGATGGAGGGGGCCCCTCATAATGGGCACAGCGGGGGTACAGACCCGGGAACTCAGCACAGGGATGGAGGGGGCCCCTCATAATGGGCACAGCGGGGGTACAGACCCGGGAACTCAGCACAGGGATGGAGGGGGCCCCTCATAATGGGCACAGCGGGGGTACAGACCCGGGAACTCAGCACAGGGATGGAGGGGGCCCCTCATAATGGGCACAGCGGGGGTACAGACCCGGGAACTCAGCACAGGGATGGAGGGGGCCCCTCATAATGGGCACAGCGGGGGTACAGACCCGGGAACTCAGCACAGGGATGGAGGGGGCCCCTCATAATGGGCACAGCGGGGGTACAGACCCGGGAACTCAGCACAGGGATGGAGGGGGCCCCTCATAATGGGCACAGCGGGGGTACAGACCCGGGAACTCAGCACAGGGATGGAGGGGGCCCCTCATAATGGGCACAGCGGGGGTACAGACCCGGGAACTCAGCACAGGGATGGAGGGGGCCCCTCATAATGGGCACAGCGGGGGTACAGACCCGGGAACTCAGCACAGGGATGGAGGGGGCCCCTCATAATGGGCACAGCGGGGGTACAGACCCGGGAACTCAGCACAGGGATGGAGGGGGCCCCTCATAATGGGCACAGCGGGGGTACAGACCCGGGAACTCAGCACAGGGATGGAGGGGGCCCCTCATAATGGGCACAGCGGGGGTACAGACCCGGGAACTCAGCACAGGGATGGAGGGGGCCCCTCATAATGGGCACAGCGGGGGTACAGACCCGGGAACTCAGCACAGGGATGGAGGGGGCCCCTCATAATGGGCACAGCGGGGGTACAGACCCGGGAACTCAGCACAGGGATGGAGGGGGCCCCTCATAATGGGCACAGCGGGGGTACAGACCCGGGAACTCAGCACAGGGATGGTCACTTTTGGATGGTGCACTTTCTATTTCGTACCTAATTGATGTTGTTCCTGTTGCAGGAGAAGATGCAGCTGTTGTGATCCAGGTCATGACGTCGACAAACAACTCCACGTGCAGCCATATCAGTTATTTCACTCTGAGCGGTATCCCGCACCTGGAATACTTGAATTTTTGGCTTGGCTTGATCGTCATCTCAATGTACATCATAGCTGTTGCGGGGAATGCCACCGTCATCTATATCATTAAGGTGGAGCAGGAACTTCATGAACCCATGTACATCTTCCTCTTCATGCTCTCGGTTCTGGATCTTCTGATAGCCACCACAATCATGCCCCAAATGCTGAGCATCTTCTGGTTTGCTGGACATCAGATCACCTTCAACATGTGTCTGACTCAGATGTTCTTCCTCCACTTTCTGTCCGCCCTGGAGTCCGGGATACTGGTGGCCATGGCTGTAGACCGATATGTGGCCATTTGCCACCCTCTTCGATATACTGCCATTCTAACCCACCAGAACATCACAAAGATCTCCTTGGTCAACATCGCCAGAGGTATGGCTGTGATGATCCCCATCCCCCTGATCATTAAGCGGTTGCCCTTGTGGAGGAGTAATAATTTGATTCATTCCTACTGCCTCCACCAAGAGGTCATGAAGTTGGCCTGCGCTGACATTGGACCAAATATCATTTACGGCATGTTTGTCATCGCCTCCGTCATGGGCATTGACTCCGTGTTCATCTCCATTTCATACATGCTGATTGTAAAGGCGGTTGTTTGCCTGGTCAAGGAGTCCAGCCTGAAGGCCATCAGTACCTGTGCCGCCCACATATGCGCCGTCCTTGCCTACTACATCCCCCTCATCGGCCTTTCTGTGGTCCACCGGATTCCCAACTCAGACCCTAACCTTCGTATACTGTTTGGGAATATTTACCTCCTACTCCCCCCTGTGATTAACCCCTTAATCTACGGGATTAAAACCAAGCAGATACGCAACAGGCTGGTGAAACTGATCAGTAACAGGAAAATTGGGAGCAAAACGTCTCAGGACTTCTGACCTTTCTCCTGTGATGGGGATACCAAGGAACCTTGGACGCTTGTAGTCTCCATCGGAAGCCCATGTGACACCAGGAAGTACCTGAACATATTCAAAGCGTTGTCACCCTATAATAGGAAATGCCAGTACAAGGTCAAAGCGTTGTCACCCTATAACAGGCAGTGTCTGAACGGGGACCCTTATGAACGGAGCCCCGAGGATTATTTTCCTGAAATAATATGGAAATTATCTTTTGCAATGACATTGACCTTTCGAAGCTTCTATTAGAATTTAGTGATTGGGTACATAGACTTTAAAAAGGTTTTAAAGTGGGACTTGTGTGTTACAAAATTCCAGTGTCTAACTTCGCCCTCCACACTCCAGCCGTGTCCCAGACTTCCTGCTCCAGGACCAGAGGTCTCCTTCCTGGTAGAACACCACTCAGTTCTTCTGCCCATTTCCTGTGGGCCCAGCCAGTCCTTCACAGGCCCCCCTCCCCCCAAGGGAACCAGTCATTGCGCCAACTGGGCTCATAGTACTCCAGGACTGAGCTTTGCTCACCCGATATTAGGCAAGCACTGCTCAGTCCTGGAAGAAGGGGATGGAGGACAAAAGCTATGAGACCAGTTTACTAAATTTAAACATGTTCACGCTGGAAGTGACGTGATTAAGAGGAGACATGATTCGGATGTACAAAATGTTTGGTGGAGATGCAACATCAGCCATAAACTTTTTACTATAAACTCCATAACAAGGAGTAGAGGCCACCACCTAAAACTGGTGGAGAAAAGATTTAAAGGAGAACTATGAGGGGGAGGGGCTTTTCACTCACCTCATAGTTCTAGCCGACCTGTGACAATGAGACTGTCACAGGTCGGCTCAGTAGATCGGGAGGTGAGAGAACACATACCGGCGTTCGCTCACCTCTCGATCCTGTCACGGCTCTCTGC